ACTCTACTGTTTTTGTATACCTCCAGTTAAACTCAATTATTTTGGTCTTATATCTATGTCTGAATCACTTGTATCCCCAATCGTTTCCTCATGGCTCAAAATAAAGGATTCTGAACTCTAAGCTCCAGCGTCAATATAATAAGGATGTAATTATTCAATGCAAATATTCTATCTCAATTATGTCCATGACATATTGACTTTTGTAGTATCTAAGGTTTCTACTTCTGACCACCACCATCTTTATCGGAAAATATTTTTGACTAAACTGCCATTGTTTCCTAAACCTACATAATAATAATAAGCAGGAACTTCCATCTTATTTGGAGTGCAGATGCATTAATTATTTGAAAAATTAATTTTATTCAAAAAACAGCGATAAGATGTGTGACGTAAAGTGAGTTTCTCTTTTTAGAGATTCTACTATTAGATTACATTATTTTAAATTTATTTTTTTTTTTTTCTTGGCATTAATTTTTTATCTATTAAGATAGGTTATTATTAATATTGTTATTATTATTGTTATTATTATTATTGTTATTATTATTATTATTATTATTATTATTATTATTATTATTATTATTATTATTGTTATTATAATTATTATTGTTATTATTATGATTATTATGGTTATGATAAATGCAAAGCACTATGTAATTTCTTTTCTTTTATCACTTTGTATTAAGGAGTATATATGCTTAGTTGCTTTGTCAAACTCTTTTAAGGATTCTTTATTGGACTAATATTTTAGGTTTCCTTTTATGGAGTTCCAGATCTACTTGTTACTTGTTCTTCTTTATCCTCTTTTGATTTCTGCATCAATGGAGTAGATGAAGTTCTTCCCATTTTATGGACATTTTGTTCATTTTCATAAATTGACTTATTTTCCCCTTACATGAATCCTCGACTTTTTCTTGTTACCGTCTTCTATAATGTTGGACTTATAATACTATTTAATTCTTACGTTTCAATAAGAGTATTTTTACATGTTTCTTGTTTTTCTTTTGATTAGTTTTATCTTTCCTTTAGTTTTAATTTATCTGCATATAAACTTAATGGTGGAAGAATTTTCTTACCTAAATTATTAATTATCATAGATTACTTTTTTCCAGATCTTCTATGGTTGACAGAGCCTATTATGACAGTAAATGTTCTCTCGTTACTTTTTCTTCATAACTCTACTTGATTAAAATACTTGATTAATTTTCATAAGGTTTTGATGACGATACTTTTTATTAAGTTTACAATAGTCCTTTATTTATAAAAGCAGTTAAGATTTCAGAATTAGCTCTGTCTTTAATTGATTAAATTTTAGTTCTTTGAGAAATAGACCAATGTTCTAAACGTTGTGCTTATGGTTTATGAACTGTGAATTATTTTTGATGAAATGAATAAAAGTCCTTACTATTAGAGAAAGTGTCAGCCATATTTTGTGAGTATCTAGGTTGTATTATCATATTGTAACAAAAAATACAATATAAGTTTAAAATAAATTTATATGATGTAAAGTGTGAAACAGGGGTAGAATACCAGATTACACTAAAAATCCATTTTAATACAAAATATCTCCCAAAAAATATTATTAATTTATGGATAAGGCAAAAATCAACTATCTTTTAGAAGGGGAAATCCTAGTTAAAGGCAAGACTTTTGGTCTTTGGCAACCTAAAAAATACATCATAGATCAAGAACTGAGAATATTTTCAATAAAAAGTTCAAAATAAAATAAAAATTACCATCTTGCAAATTATTAAGTATATTATATTCTTATTATTAATAGATAGCAAATGTCGAAAGAAAGAATAATAGATTTTAATTTGAATTAATTTCTACTATTGGTGAAAAGAATATATTAATGGGATCAGATAATGAGAAATTTGCTAATGAGCTTATGTTGTTCTTAAAAAAAATGTGTGGATAATAATTACGAACTTAAAGTTTATTCGAACCTAGTTTATCTTCTAAATCAAATTGTATTATAAATTTTATTAAACTGCAGCATCTCTTCGAGATTATGATTATGAAATTCCATAATTTTTTGAAATGCCAGAAATTCGAGATGGGTATATTTTAATAACTTAATTTAGTATTCAAAATATCAGATCTAAATCTTATTAATTGGAATAGTATGAACTAATCTAAAATCAAGTTGTAAAGATTTATAGAAATAAAAATAATTAACTTAATTTCAAAGTATTTCTTACTTTACCTGGAAATTGTAATATTCTTATTATTTATTTATTTAGGCTTAACAAAATGTATAACATAATTATTTCATACTTAATATGATTGGAATATGCATAATCTAAAAGAATACACTTAAATTAAGGAATTCAAATCTGATAAATCACAAATGATAACTGAAATAAGATTAATCAAAAATTGGTTTTAATTCAAAAGAGAATTTACTTATTTAAGACATTTAGTTGAATTTAAAAAAAAAGAAAATATTTAGATTGTTATTGAAAAAAAAGCAGATCATAAGATACACTAAGGCACTGTTTCAGGACTATTAAAATTTGCTGTTTGGGGTCTCTTTTTAGAAAACAATCAAACTAATATTGTATTATTTACTGAATAGAGTTATAATGGTTTATCTTTTATTGAAGAAGATTCAATTCTCTCATAATAATATTTTTTGTAATTTGAAAATATTATAAAACCACAAAAAATAGATTTTGATAAATAATTAATGTAAGATTAAAGTTAAGGTATTAATCCAAATAATAGTCCTTAAAATGAATTCTCAACTTAAAAGTCTAAAGTAAAAATTATAAAAGAAGCATAGACTGGTGATATTCCTAAATAAATAATTCAAAATCAAAATATTCAATAACCTATCATTGTATAATCCCCACAATAGGGTCCAAATTAATAATTATAAGCATAATCACCAGCATAAATGGCACTTTCTTCTAAAGATAAAAGTATTCCATAAATTGGAAATTTGAAAGAGGACGATTAATAAATTTAGTTATTGTAAGTAAATATGAAAAAATCAGCTAAATCTTCTGAGTCTAATTAATTTTAAGGAAAAGTAGATTAAAATAATCTTTCTTAAAGTACTTTCGAATAATTAAAACTAAAGAAAACTTCTAGTTCTTAAGAATCTTCTCAAGTTGTTGCAAATAACACTTCATAAAATATTTTATTTCAGTAACCAAAAATAGAAGATGATTGTGAAAATGATGAAATCATACCTGAAAATGAAGGATCTGATGGAAATATTACATAATATTATGATTGTGAAGATGATATAGATGCAATGAATGATAAATTATTTATTGGATAATAAGATCAATAATCTAATAATGCTGATTAAAGTGTGATGGATGTTAGAAATTCAATAACTTAAAGATAGCCTAAGAATAAAATTAATTAAATTTAAAGTTAAAGTGACACTATTGAAAATATTGAGGATTGGGTTGAAAAGAAGATGTAGGCATATTTTAGTGGAAAATTCTGTTAAATTGCTATTGATATTAAACATATTTTGAATCCATTAGAATCAGATATTAATGTACATTTATATAAAATTAAAATAAGAACAGAAAGTATATGAGAGAATAAGAAGGAGGACATTATATATTTAGAAAAGATTTTATGAGAGATGAAAAGAATGGTGGATTAAAATGTATTAATGAGATAAAAGTAAATGCATAAAAGAGTGTAGTCAAATTTTTATTAGCTAGAATAGGTAAGAAGTGATATAAATTAAAGGAACTTCACTCTTAATGGGAAGATCTCTTACTAGTATATCAATGCCAGTAACTATATTTGAATCTAGATCTAATACAGAGAGAGCTTGTAGTTCATTGGCATTTGCTCCAGTATTTTTAGATGATGCTGCTAATTCGAAAGATAAATTCTATAGAATTAAATAATGTGCAGCATTTTCTTTTGGATTTATTTTTTCATATTTATCTATGGAAAAAGTAAAATCTATTTTTAATAATTTAAAAGCCCTTCAATCCTATTTTAGGTGAAACATTTTAAGGTTATTTCGATAATTGTCCCATATATTGTGAATAAATAAGTCATCATCCTCCAATATGCATCATCTAATATTATGGTCGAAAATATAAGTATAAAAAAAGCAAAATATTAATAGAATTGATGCTCGTCTTGAATTAGTTGCAAATTTCCATTCAAATTCTGTGGTTGGGAGAAACGTTGGTGAAGTAAAAGTGATATTTGAAAATCCTCCTTAAGAAATTATTATTCTATTAGCACCTGGTTGTATTTATGGTACAACATTTGGTGATAAATCAATGGATTTTTTAGAAAAATAATTTCTATTTGATTTAAATAATAAATGGGTGATGGAATGTGCATTCAAACCTGACAAAAAATATTGCTAATATTTTAATATTGAACATCTTTCTTACTCAGATTATGTAGCTGGAGGTGTTTGTGAGGTTACAGATGCAGCCATTGGAAGATATTTAAGGGAAGGTTATAGAAAATATAAAGGTTTAGATTTCAAAACAGAGGTTAAATAAGTTAAAAGTATAATTAAGGGAGTTTGGAATTAAGAACTAAAAGTAATAATCATTTTTTATCTAAGTTTGATAATCAAAAATTGATATCGATAATGACTGACTTCCCAATCAAATTAGAATTAGCATAATATCCATTACCATCAGATGCCAATTTTAGAATGGATGTTCTAATGTGGAAATTGAGAGATTTTGATTAAGCATAATAATGGAAAGAAAATCTAGAAATATTTCAAAGGCAAGATAGAAAATTGAGAGAAGCAATAGGACCAAAAAAAAAGAAGAAATGAATTTATAAGTACAATTATTTTTACTTTCTATAATTTTTATTAATAATATCAGAGTAACATTCTAGATTGCACTTAAATAGTAAATTGCCTTACTTTTATGATTGGAGTTTATATCTGAAAGAAATGTCTTTTTAGATAGAGTAATTGTTTCTAATTTCTACATCAATTAAATTTATATTTCAAAAAATACAATAGATAAATTAATAATAATTTTTCATTGAAAATAAGTTTAAAGTACATAATAACAAATATTTAAAAACCCAAAAAATTAAGTGAAGAAATTGTTATAAAAGTGAATTTCAATTTCACTCTTCTATTGGTTAATCTCCTCTTCTTATCCACCTTACTATTTTACCATCTTACCATTCTCCTTCTTTTTCCACCTTTGATGAACCTATATAGATTCCTTTGCCATGTTATTTTCCATTTGACCATTCTCCCTTATAAACCTGAATATATTAATAAAATTCATACTCTTCCATCAGGCCATTTAAATTCACCATATCCATGTTTTTTATCATCTTTATATTAACCCTCATATCGTCTTCCATCCAACCAAGTAAAAACCTTTGTTATTATAAATAACCATACTCCTTTTCCATCCATTTTATTATTTTTCCATTCGCCAACATATTTTCTACCATCTTCCCAACTATATTCTCCTTATCCTTAAATATTGTTTTAGTAGAAGTCTCCCACATAAATAGAACCATCAGCCCATTTGAATGTACCTCTACCATCCTTTATTCCATTTTTATATTGTCCTTAATAAATAGCACCATCAGGCCAAATTTCTTATCCTNAATGGGTGATGGAATGTGCATTCAAACCTGACAAAAAATATTGCTAATATTTTAATATTGAACATCTTTCTTACTCAGATTATGTAGCTGGAGGTGTTTGTGAGGTTACAGATGCAGCCATTGGAAGATATTTAAGGGAAGGTTATAGAAAATATAAAGGTTTAGATTTCAAAACAGAGGTTAAATAAGTTAAAAGTATAATTAAGGGAGTTTGGAATTAAGAACTAAAAGTAATAATCATTTTTTATCTAAGTTTGATAATCAAAAATTGATATCGATAATGACTGACTTCCCAATCAAATTAGAATTAGCATAATATCCATTACCATCAGATGCCAATTTTAGAATGGATGTTCTAATGTGGAAATTGAGAGATTTTGATTAAGCATAATAATGGAAAGAAAATCTAGAAATATTTCAAAGGCAAGATAGAAAATTGAGAGAAGCAATAGGACCAAAAAAAAAGAAGAAATGAATTTATAAGTACAATTATTTTTACTTTCTATAATTTTTATTAATAATATCAGAGTAACATTCTAGATTGCACTTAAATAGTAAATTGCCTTACTTTTATGATTGGAGTTTATATCTGAAAGAAATGTCTTTTTAGATAGAGTAATTGTTTCTAATTTCTACATCAATTAAATTTATATTTCAAAAAATACAATAGATAAATTAATAATAATTTTTCATTGAAAATAAGTTTAAAGTACATAATAACAAATATTTAAAAACCCAAAAAATTAAGTGAAGAAATTGTTATAAAAGTGAATTTCAATTTCACTCTTCTATTGGTTAATCTCCTCTTCTTATCCACCTTACTATTTTACCATCTTACCATTCTCCTTCTTTTTCCACCTTTGATGAACCTATATAGATTCCTTTGCCATGTTATTTTCCATTTGACCATTCTCCCTTATAAACCTGAATATATTAATAAAATTCATACTCTTCCATCAGGCCATTTAAATTCACCATATCCATGTTTTTTATCATCTTTATATTAACCCTCATATCGTCTTCCATCCAACCAAGTAAAAACCTTTGTTATTATAAATAACCATACTCCTTTTCCATCCATTTTATTATTTTTCCATTCGCCAACATATTTTCTACCATCTTCCCAACTATATTCTCCTTATCCTTAAATATTGTTTTAGTAGAAGTCTCCCACATAAATAGAACCATCAGCCCATTTGAATGTACCTCTACCATCCTTTATTCCATTTTTATATTGTCCTTAATAAATAGCACCATCAGGCCAAATTTCTTATCCTTCTCCATTCTATCTATCATCTTCCCATTAGCCAATATATTGAGCCCCATCCATACGAACATATTTTCCCTAAGAATAACATAAAAATGTTACTTAACCATGAGCATTATCATTTCTCCACTCTCCTTCATAAATATCACCATCAAAATGAATTAATCTACCTTTTCCACATGCTACATTTTAGTACCAATAACCTTCATATAATGATCCATTCTACCTAATTTATTTTCCTCTACCATGTCTCTATCTAGATATATAAATCAAATAAATTTTACCCATTCTTCCATTAACCTATATAAACACTTCCATTTTCAAATTCATATGGACCCAAATGTGGTAAATCTTTGTATTCCTCTTAATCTTGATCATAAACAAACTCACCCAATTTTTCAAAAACCTTTGTATAATTTCAATATACCTGTTTGGCTTGATCTGTCAAAAAATCAGGTACCTTCTCAATTTTTCTTACTTTGTCATTTGGAGCATGCTAATTGGCTCCAGCACTTTATTCTGGATCCTTTGTATCAATGGTTTCTTTAGCTGTTGCAGATGCTTTATCTTCCTATAATTAATGGTTCTCCATTCTTTTAGGTTCAAGATTTTATTTAATAACCAAATTAAGATGAATAACCATAAACAAAAGAGGGTTAAAGACATCATTAACATCATGATAATTTCAGTTTTGAATCTTTTTTAGCACATATAAGAGGTCATAAATCAAGAGAAGATGTTAAGAAAATAAAATAAACTCAAAAGATTTCAGAAAAATTTCAAATAAGTTTATTACACTTTTTTGTTAAATATCTTCTTTGGGTTGTTCCTTTTTTTTATTTATTCACTGAAGTATTATTTTGCTTTTAATTCTCATAAATTTCTAGTTATTCATGTTATTTCGATTAAAGTCATACATCTTCTTATTTTATTTATTTTGATTAGATAGGTTATTCATATTTTTAAATTACTTATAGAACTTATAATTAAATAGGTTCTTTTTAAATTACTTTTTATATACGTTTTGTTACTTGATGTTAATCCTTAGTTTAAATTTCAAACTAAATTTACAATCCTTTCTATGGTTATTCTGTTTCGGCTGATTATCAGATTACTCTTAGGAAAGAATTTAAAGAATTATAATGTAAGCTTCAATAGTGATTATAGATCCTTATTGCTGGACTTTTTTCTTAGCATTGATCCAATCCAAGAATTGGCTTTCTAATTCTTTTATTCTTTCATTATTTTTTGTGTATCTTCTCGATCTATTCTTGCTTCAATTCTTTAGTTCTTTATAATTCTTCAAGATTTGCTATATATCCTTGAGTTTTTTCTAGAGATTTTTGACTTTTTTAGCCAAAAAAGTTAAAATAAAAGTCTTTCTTCGTTTCTGAATTAATCCCAGATTGATTTTTTCTTTTATTATTTACCTTCTTTCACTGTGTATTATTTTCGAAAATTAAAAAAATACCAATGAAGACTAATGTTATCGATTTATAGAGCATTCTACCATAAATTTCAATTAAACATAATAAAATATTAAGATGATCTCAGTTAAAAGTTTAAGGCAGCTTGAATTAATTGGAATAAATCATTAGCATATTATAACAAATTCTTCATTATCTTATTAAATTGAATATTATTTTAACATATCTAATAAGCTGATGAGAAGAGAACTGGGGAGTATTTTTTAAGACATGTTCTCTTATCCCTATGTTTACTTATAATGGTCAAACAATTAAGGATACAAGTCATAGAAAGATGTATATATTACTATGATTATTATTAATAATAATTAGTTCTTCTTTAGATGTCAATGACTAATCAGATTTAGCATGAAAGAATATGCCCCTATTCAGATTTTTGTTAATTGACTCGAATTTAGAGAAAATTATTTAATTTAAATGAATGTAATATGCATAAATACAATTTAATAAGGCATCATTTAGATTTTCATAATATTCTAATTGCGTCATGTCCTCGTTTTAAGTGAAGTAGATTGAACCGCTAAATCCACTCTTTACTAATTGCTAAATGGCTTAAAATTAGGGTTCCGCATATTGCTTTGCTCTCAGAACTTTATCAGCTATGCAAACGAACAAAGCAATCTTGCCTAATTTATTTTTTTTGAGTTTCTTTTTAAAAGAGCCAAAATATGTGAGAGCTGATATAAATGTGTTTTGCACAAAAAATAAAACAAATTTACTTTGATCATCACAATATCAGTTTAGTAATTTGTATCGGTTTAAAAATAAAATACATCTCAGATTTCTTACCCCATTATTATGTTTGAAAAACTAGTGTCTAATTCAAATAAATATAAAGGATTAATTCGGGAAAGAAAAAAAATGAAATTTCAGAATTTTATAATTGGTTGAATTAGAAATTCAAATAGTTTGAAGATAAATAAAAAAAAAATGATATCATTTTTTTAATTTATACAAATTATTAAATAATATTATTTTTAAATTAAAATCATATATGATCTTTGGATTTTTTATTTTTTTTTTCTTATCTTTTTTTAATTCTTTTTCCATTTCTCTCTTTGTTATTTTTCCTATTCCTAAATTTCTTACAATATATCTTCATCTTCATCTAAATCTGACAATCTAGATTATTAACTTGCTTCTTTTCTTTTTTTAGAATATCTCTTCGCAGTTTTTTTCTATAATTTAAATAGAGTTTATACAGATATTCCTAGATTATCCCTTATATTATTTATCAATAAATTTACTAATAGCATCATAATTGAATCTTCCAATTAATTTAGAATAACTAAAGTTATAAAAATATTTCATCTTTTAGTTGCTAGAACAAGCTACGAAATTGGGTAATACGTTATTTGAAAATTATCAAATTTTAATAATAATTCATCATGACAAAAAGTATCTATGAAAAAAAAAGATGCTTATTTTACTCAATGATTATTTTTAATTTTATCTAGTATTACCAATTAATATTCCCATTTTGTTAAAAAATCATCATGTTTCACATGTTTATGATCTCTCATTCAATAAAGCTTTATAACATAATGTTTATTTCTTTTCACAATTTTCTTCTAGTCAATAAAAATGCAATTCTTTTTTGATTTCTTAGTATCAGAATTAATTAAGTTTAGAAAATTTTTTAATATTTATTTAAGTAAAGTAAATAGTATAAAGCCTGTTTGATCTTTAGATAATCGAGCGTTTAAGTAGCATTCTAACTTTGGAAGAAATCTGAGTTTAATAATTTATATGAAGAACTTATAATAGTGATTGGGCGAAATTGATTTTATTTAGGAATAGAAGGAAATACTTTATTTAGAGGAATTTAACTTGCTCGCTACATAAATAATTTTTTTTCAAGAGTGGAATTAGACCAAAGGTCCATAAATAATGAAATGTTCTTGGTTTATTTTCGGATTATTTTAATTTAAAACCTTTTGAAAATATTGTCTTAGGCATTTATCTTGATGAATCTTTGGATTGATTAATTATTACTATTTATTAGGGTTTTTTTATGAATAACATTGAATATTTAGGAATTTTTTTGATACAGAAAATATTTTTTAGTATATGTATTGAATCCATATCTAGAGTATTTTTTTTTCTATTGTCTATAATAAATTAATCTAAAGTTTTTCTGCTAAATATATCAACATTTTTGGATAGAAAAAGCCTTATTCAATCAATTAAATGCATTTATTATCATTTACAGCATATTTATTATAAAAACCTCTAAATAAAACTAATATTCTGATAAACCTTCTAATTTTTTTCTTAATTTTCTTTTTCAGGATATTCCACCATTGAATTATTGTTCTATTACATCGATAAAAAATATAAAATATTATAAATTTACTGAATCATATTGTCTCTTGATTTTGCTGTAAAGCACCCATACTTTTTACATTTTGTAAATTATATTTCTCAAAGTAGTGGTTTAAATATCCTGCTACACAATTCTTCAATCAATTGATCATTGATTTAGCTAATGATTCGGTAGATCTAATATATATATATAGAAGTGAAAGAATGTTATGATTTACCAATTCCATCCAAATATATGTTCAATAGCATTTAATTCTGGCGATTTGCTGGAGTGAAAATGCATGGAATTCTGCTATATATTTATTTCATTTCAGCTGATTTATACACAAAACAATTAACCATGGCTAAAACAAATTAATCTTTTTAATAATAGTCTTGAGCTTTATTTATAATTGAAGTTATAAAGTCTTAAAAAATATATGCTTTACAAGTTCCTTCAAAAATCTAAGAAAACAGGTAATTGTTAAAACCAAAAGTATCAAGCAAAAATTTGAAAATTGAAATTCTATGCAAGGTTTTTTAAAAAGAACCTACTACATGCCATTATTTATGATTTGATTTTGAGATATTTCCCTATAAAAAACATTCATCTATAAATATCAATTTAAAATTTTGTTGAATACAAAATTGAAATAAACTTTTTGATTCCTCATTTTTACCATTTTTTCAAAAATTACAAAGGGTTCAACAATGGAATTCAATATCTTATATCTTTCGATATTAGTAGTTACTTAATTAACTATTTGGATATTTGGCAATAAAGGCATTTCTAAATGATAATGAATTAAGTAAAATGGAGTTTGATTCTTTTTGAGCTTGTTATTTAATCCAATTATTTTCATTTTTTGACAATTAAATTTACTTTTTTGAAGCAATTCTCTCATTTATCATTTTATTTGTTCTGACATTTCTAAAATCCCTCTAAAATCTTCTAATTTATTGGCATGTTTAATAAGATAAGAATTCTCAGATAAGCATACACTAAATGAACATAGAATAGCTAAGAATCATTAGAAATTCTAGAATAAATAATTTATGTGTTTTGTATTTTATAAGATAATTTTATAAATTATCTGATGACTCTTCAACAATTCAATTAAATATAATGAAATTTTAGATTCTCTTCAATGATTTGAAATAAATAAATAGTATTTTGTTTAATAAAAATATTATTTAATGTTTTCAACCGATCCTAGATTCCAATAAAAATTTGGTCAATAAACTAATCAAATTTAGATTTCACCTAGATAAAATCAATTTGTAATATAATCAATCTATTATACTAGGTTCAATCTCCTAGATAATTTTAATAATCTCCTAGATAATTTTAATAATCTCCTCGATAATTTTAATAATCTCCTAGATAATTTTAATAATCTCCAAGGTATAACAATGCCTAGATGATTTCTCCTTAGCAAAAATAATTAATAGTTATCATTATTATAAATTGTTTAGGGATCACCTCAATCGCAACAATTGAAATAGCTTCAATTATAATAAAGTCCAATAATGCCAACCAGTATGAAATAATAAAATCCTATAAACATATATAATCCTATATAAATTAGATCAACAAATTAACCTTAAAATATTGCTTAAACTCAAAGTCCTAAAGTAAAATGATTAATTAATGTATGATTAGACAGCGTAACCTTAAAAATAAGTTTAAGAATTTAGACATGTAGAAAGACCTTTGCAAGTAATAACTGCTGATGGTAAGAGTTCTAATCAATTTTAAAAGAAATTGAAGCTCCCTGGAGATTAAAATGCTCAGCCTTAGAAAGATAAATTTTAGAATTGCAAATACAAATTAGAAAAGACAATGGAAAAATTATTGAGGAAAATGTATAAGAAGTGTAAGATGATACAAAAGTTAAAAACTTATAAAACTAAAAGTAAGAATTAGAAAAAAAGATGTTTGATGATGAAGAATTTATAAAACAATAAAGATTAAAGTTGGAAGAATTATAATAAGAATATGAAATTACAATAACAGAAAAAATTTCATATGCATCAAATGAAGTAGAAACATGGATCAAGAAATACTCAAATCTAGAAAAAAACTATAATGAAAGTTAATAAAAAATATAAGATCTTAAAAAATAATTAGCATAAGTGGAAGCTGCTGATAAAGCTATATAAAATTAAAAGAGAATGGAAACTAAATAAGAAGTTAGAAAAAGTTCTAAACTCTATTGAATTATAATACATAATAACAAATATTTAAAAACCCAAAAAATTATGTGAAGAAATTGTTATAAAAGTGAATTTCAATTTCCCTCTTCTATTGGTTAACCTCCTCTTTTTATCCACCTTACTCTTTTACCATCTTACCATTCTCCTTCTTTTTCCACCTTTGATGAACCTATATAGATTCCTTTGCCATGTTATTTTCCATTTGACCATTCTCCCTTATAAACCTGAATATATTAATAAAATTCATACTCTTCCATCAGGCCATTTAAATTCACCATAACCATGTTTTTTATCATCTTTATATTAACCCTCATATCGTCTTCCATCCAACCAAGTAAAAACCTTTGTTAATATAAATAACCATACTCCTTTTCCATCCATTTTATTATTTTTCCATTCGCCAACATATTTTCTACCGTCTTCCCAACTATATTCTCCTTATCCTTAAATATTATTTTAGTAGAAGTCTCCCACATAAATAGAACCATCAGCCCATTTGAATGTACCTCTACCATCTTTCTTTCCGTTTTTATATTGTCCTTAATAACTAGCACCATCAGGCCAAATTTCTTATCCTTCTCCATTCTATCTATCATCTTCCCATTAACCAATATATTGAGCCCCATCCATATGAACATATTTTCCCTAAGAATAATATAAAAATCTTACTTAACCATGAGCTTTATCATTTCTCCACTCTCCTTCATAAATATCACCATCAGAATGAATTAATCTACCTTTTCCACATGCCACATTTTAGTACCAATAACCTTCATATAATGATCCATCCTACCAAATTTGTTTTCCTCTACCATGTCTCTATCTAGATATATAAATCAAATAAATGTTACCCATTCTTCCATTAACCTATATAAACACTTCCATTTTCAAATTCATATGGACCCAAATGTGGTAAATCTTTGTATTCCTCTTAATCTTAATCATAAACAAACTCATCTAATTTCTCCAAAACCTTTGTATAATTACAATATACTTGTCTGGTTCGATCTGTCAAAAAATCAGGTACCTTCTCAATTTTTCTTACTCTGTCATTTGGAGCATGTTAATTGGCTCCAGCACTTTATTCTGGACCCTTTGTATAGATGGCTTCTTTAGCTGTCACAGATGCTTTATCCTCCTATAATTGATGGTTTTCCATTCTTTTAGGTTCAAGACTTTATTTAATACACTTATCTGAAACTTGTTCTGAACTCTTTTGAGTTTCTTTTATTTTCTTAACCTCTTCTCTTGCCTTATGACCTCTTATATGTGCTAAACAAGATTCCAAACTGAAATTACCTTATATTTTTGTAGCCTTTTCCTTAACTAAATTTTCATCCAGTTATTCATCCCCTTTTTTATCAGGATCTTACTATTGACCTGCCCCTAAATTTATCTGTGTTTTTTGTTCACCACACCAAGCTTGTTATCCAGTACAACAACTTCCCATAATCTGTTATTCTGTAATATATATAAAAATTATATTAAATTATATAAATTTTGCATCTAAATCATTCTTACTTCATGATTACTTAACCAAATGATTAAATAAATTTATAATTGATTTAGAATTAATCAAATCTCCTTATAAATTATTAACTTAAAATCCAAAAGAAAAATTATCAATCAAGATTCAATATTCGTAAACTCTCCTCCTTTCCTTATCCATCTAACTCTCTTCCCATCAATCCATTCTCCTTCCTTCTCAACCTTTGATTTCCCTATATAGATCCCTATCCCATGCTGTTTTCCATTCTACCAATATCCTTTGAAAATCTTGTATTTATTTC